CATCCCATGAGTGGCAAATTAGGTGTTCCCAGCTGACAACAAGAAGTAATCATAGTTTCCTTTGGGAGTTGACATAGAGGGGAGAAAAGAATTTGCAAAAGCTATGAGACTAGACATAAGAAGTGACATACAGCAGACTGGGGACATTGAGAGTCAGAGGCAGGACGACAGCTCAGCTCAGCGTGCCCCGACTGCGAGAACGCTGTTGAGAACGGCAGGCACCATGACGAGAGGTCAGGTGTGGCCCGGTTCTCTCTGTCCGGGGAGGCCTCTCATTTCAGGGCAGCAGAGTCTACGTGCGCCTGTGACGCAGGAAGCCCTGTGTCTGCTGACGCAGGAGGGGGCAGCTGGCCAACCCAGCAGGGCCCAGAGGCAGGCTCTGGGAAGAGGTGATCCTTGACCTGAATTTTGAAGATCCAGCAGGACTGAGCCAAGGGTAGAGAAGGGAGAACATCCTGGCAGAGCCCAGCACCAGCAGAGGCCAGGACCCACTTGGGAGAACCCAAGTGGTAAGTGGCAGGGGATGAGGGTAAGGGGAGCAGCAGAGGCCCCAAAGCCCCCCGGATGGGTTCTAGGCCGAGGCTGGGCTGGAGGAAGGCAGGGGGCTGCCCTTGGCCTCTCCCTGCCCTGGGGCATTGAGTCCCTCTTGGGAGAGCCTTCTGTGTCACCTTGCCCGGCCCAGCAAGCCGGGAAAGGGACCGATGCCATTGGCTTAGAGAAGATGATAACAACACTTTGCAGTCCCAGAGTTTATATTCAGCATTCCTGTACTATCTCTGTTCAGAGTCAACAAAGCTTTGCTGAGCGCCTAGCTACTTCACTGAAGTTCATTCCTTTTTTTCTCCTTAATTTGCTTTCTCATTTCCTCGCATAAAATACTTAAAGCATTTCCCCTCCCCAGACGTAACTCCAGGCACCAGCTTGGTCTCTGTCTTTCTGGATCTTTTTCTATGCACTCACGTACCTGCTTTTTCCCCCATAAAAATACAGTGTGGCTTTGTGTAGAATTTTTTCCTCTCTAAGTGGTATGTCTTTCTCCATCTTGCTCTTTTCCCCCAACAACATATCCTAGCAATCTGGATAGATCACATATAGATCAACCCCATTCTTTTAAAAATTGCATGGTATTCCTCAGTGAACTCTTTGTTCATGTAGCCATCCCCTGTGGATGGACACACAGGTTGTTTCCAGTTTTTTTGCTCTTGCAAACAGTGTGGCCCTGACCCTCCCTGTACATCCTCTTGGCACACGTGTGTCAGAAATACTTCACATGTTCACAGATACCACCCAGTGTCCTGCCAACGTGCCTGGGTGTGTCCTCACCTCGGCAGTGGCATTCGACAGTATCTGCTTCCCCATGCCGTCCCCAATACTTCTTATTATCAAACCTTTTCTGGTCTTGCCCGTTTGATGGGTACAGAAGTGGCATCTCACTGTTGCTTTAATGCCTGCTCATTTTTTCATTTATTCAACAAATAGTTACTGAGCTCCTAATACGTGCCAGGCCCCATGCTAAGTACTGAGGATGCAGCAATCAAGAACAGCATGGCCCCTAGACCCCTTCCCAAAGCATGAGATAAAAAAGGCTCAGAGAGGTTAAGAGACAGGCCTAGGATCACCCAGCGAGAGGATGGGGAGCTGGGAGTTGAATGTGGGTCTGTGTGGCTACAGAGTGGGAAGGTACTCTTCCTCCTGAATCGTACCTCAAATGGGCATCTGAACACAAGCTCTGCACCCCCTCCCCCAGGCCTGCTGGGTCCCGTCCCCTTACTGACCACTAGTGCCTGCGGGAGTGACAGCGCCCCAGCAGCTGAGCGGGCAGTCCCACCACAGACCGGGCTATGCCTGTGTCCCAGACCTCTCTTCACCCCAGCCTCCCACCAAAATTAAGTCTTTCCACCAGAAAGGCAAGATAGGGCTCCTTCAGAGTCTGCCCAGCCTCTCAGTGGCCGAATTTAGCATCTGTTTCTTTCTCTTTCCTGAATTTGGGTTTCCAGCAGGCCTGCCCCCCAAATACTGCGGCCCCACCCGAAACCAAGCAAGACAAAGAATGAGTTTGTGGTTTGATTTTTTTCCTCTCGTCATCAAGTGTCTGATTCAAGAGGGTAGAGGTGCCGGCCAGCTTGCTCATGTGTGTTTCAGCGTGTCGGGGGAGGCGTCTGAGAGCCCACGTGCACGCATGTACACGGGTGTGTGTGCATGTGTGTATTTGGAAATTCACATGTGAACCTAGGTCTCTGTGTCTGAGTGGGTTTGAATGGTGATTTCTTTGTGTGTGTGACCGGGTATCTGTGTGTTTGTGCCACTTTTTTTCTGAGTGCTGGTTTCAGAGGTATGTGTGAGGTTAACGATGGGTCCATAAACCACACATGTGACCCAGTCTGTCTGCTTTCCAGTTCACTTCCTCTGTTAGGGAAATCATGTGTCTATAATGATCTCCTGCCTTCAGTGATCATATCATAAAAGGACACTGTTCAAGGAATAGGAGGTCCCTTGGTAAGTGGGGCTCAAAGTCTCTGACCTTATCCTCTGACCCTCTGTCTCCCTTCCTCCCTTAAGACATGCTCCCTAGAAGCCTTCCCAAACTCTTTTGCACTGAGGTGTTAATGATTGTCATGGCATTATGTGGCTTTACATTTTTAAATAGGGAACCAGGAGGTTTGGGCAAAGTACGAATGTCTGGTCGCAGACTGCCCTCCAGGAGACCTTGATCAGGTCATTCCACCTCCGAGTCTCTGCTTCTCCACGTGTAAAGTGGACACAGCGATCCCCTGCTGAGGGCATGCGGATTCGGTGGAATCATGTATGTCGAAGCATCTGGTACGCAGTAGGTGCTCCATAAATGGAAATTTCTCTAGCCTGCTTGGGCCTTTCCCCACACCCTCTCGTGGTGCATGGTACCGACTGGAACATTTCCCTGCTGTGAGGGGAGGTCACAGACCCGTGCAGTGCAGACGTAGACCAGGCCTCTGCCAGACGCCTGCGTGTGCGTTCTCTCAGTGGACCCCCAGAGACCCCTCAAGGGGGCACTTTGTCCTGACTTTTTACAGAGGACGAGCCTGAGGTGCAGAGAGGGGAAATGACTTGCTAAGGTCACACAGCTGAGATCTGAAAGAGGACCTTCCACTGCAGGCCACGGCCCAGGGTGCGCTCAGCTGAGCTGAGTCCTGCGGAACTCAGACTTCCTTTTATTTTCATTGAGTATGATTGACATATTATATTAGTTTCAGGTGTACGACATAATGATTCGATATATGTATATATTGGAAAATGATCACCCCAATAAGGCTCCCCTGTGCCGTGTCTCGGTCCCTTGCCCTCCACTGCGGACAGCCCCATGGTTTCCACGCCTGCCCCATCTCACATCTCCACGTGTTCCACCCTGTTCCTTGAGCCCAGATGCCACATTAAGACAACAGGGAACTGCAGGAACTATGTGCCCCGCGCTCTGCTAGGTGCCTTCACGCGCGTCGGGCTCCTGAGCCCCGAGGTGGGAGTTATTACCCCATTAGACAGATGAGGTGAGTGAGTCTGAGTAAACGTGGCTAGTCCAAGGTCCCCAGCTAGGAGTATGGGAACCAGTGTGAACGTGGATCTGACCTAAACCCAGGTCCTGTGGGTTTGAAGGTTGGAAGGTACTTCACATGGGACCCTGACCATTCCTTAAAAAATATCGTCTAATACTTAAATGCCGTGTTAATAATAGGAAGGGCTCCTTGAGGGCCTGTTATGTGCCGAGCGCTGGGCCTAGACACCGCTTCACACACATGATCTCATTGAGCCCTCCAGCTGCCCAGCGAGCACACCCATTCTACAGACGGGAAGACTGATCAGTCACCTAACGGAAGCTGCGCGGGCTCAGGGGCCTGCTCGCCGGTCCTCTCTCCTGGCCCTCAGCCTGATGCCCGCACAAGTGGCTGCTCACTAAATCTTTGCTGCAGGAGGAACGTGCTTCCTCCGCCCGTCTGTCTCAGAAGAGCTCCAGTGTCACCCAGTCCAGGCCACCGGTCCCTCTCTGCTGGTCAATCCCCGCCAATGGCTCTTCCTCTTGTCTCTTCTGTCCCCTACAACAGCAGCCAGCATCGTCTTTAAAAACACACCAGACCCTGTCACTTGCCCAGTTAAGACCCTCCCGTGACTTCTCATCACCCCGAATATAATGTCTAGGCTCCCCGGGGCCTGCGAATCCCTGCACGGCCAGGCCGCCCTGGCACTCCCCCTCCTGCCCCACACTGCCTCTCCTGTGCCAGCTACTCCAGTCTTTGGAACACCCCAAGCTCTCTCCCTCCTTGGGGCTGTTCCCTTGGCCTGGAATGTTCTTCCCTCAGGTCTCCACTGGGCCTTCCTTGACCTCCCTCCCCATCCCCCGCCCCCCCAGAGTTGCTCTGCATCACATCGCCTTGTTCCTTTGATACACCTGATTGTGACTGGTGAATCTCGTTTCCATGTTTGTTTCTCTGGACAGGGCCTTGTGTGTCCTCTGTGTTCGCAGAGCCTAGCGCAGTCCCTGAACACATTTGGTTCCTTGGTAAAAGTTTATTGAAACAAGAAGTGAGGCTCAGAGAGGTTGATCACCAGCCCAAGATCACACAGCAAAGAAACTCGATGATCTGGGATTCAAACTTGGGATGCTCTGGACTGCACAGTGCACGTTCCTAACCCTTCTTCCAGCCTGTCTCCTGCCACGCTCCTGGGCAGGCTGCTGCGTGTGGAGCATGTGCGTGGACAGTGTGCGGGCGTGTGGGCATCTGTGTGTGTACGCACAAGAGGGCTCTGCCCAAGCAGAGTGTTGCTCGTCTACTTGGAAGGCTTCTCGGTGTCCCCACCGCTGGTTCGTTTCTGCCCCTGAGCTGGCAGTGGCTCCTTACACTTTCCTGAGGGCCCATCACAGGGCCCGTCCCCACTCCCCCACAACCTCTTCCCTGCCGTGTGCTTCTGAACCAGGCCCCAAAACGCATGACCCCTTGAGTGAAATCAAAATGCCGACTCAAGGAAAGTCATCCAGTGTACCAGCTTTAATCAATGTTACGTAGAAATCACTGTAGTTAACATGTTCCTGCAGAAAGTTTGACTTCTGTCTAGCAGTCCTCGCGTGATGGCATTTCTCATTTGGGTGAAACCAACACAGGAACAAGCCGTGGGGTGCCGTCTCAGTTGTGTTTCCGCCCTAGGGGGTAGTAATGGGAAAGGCACCCTTTAACAGCTGAGTGTTTCATAAATCCCTTAACCCTCTCCTCTGGGTTGGACTGCTCATTTGTAATCAGATATGGGGCATGGATGGAGCTTAGACTATCAAGTTCCTTTTGACTTATGTGAATCCCTCCATCCACTTATCCCATTTATCGTCCGCCACTCCATGACTTCCCCCAGTCCATCCATTTATCCGCATTAATCCAGGTTACCCATCTAGTCCAAACATCTATTCTTCCATCCATCAATCCATTCAATTACTCCATTCATCCATACAGTTACCCATTCAATCAGTTCATCTACCCATTTATCCATCCACTTAGCCAACTATTTAACCAATTCATCAAATTCATCAATACTCAATACATCTATCCAACTGTGTCTGACCAATTCACCATCCATTCACCAGCCACATCATTCCAATCAGATCCCACTAATCATCTAATCAACAATTACCCAACCGACTAATTTGTTTACCCTACCAGTGCATCAATCCAATTCGGCTAATCACATCCATTCGACTTGCTGGTCATTCCGCTGATGCATTTCATCCCTCCCTCCCTCCCTCCATCCACTCACTCAGGCAGCCTTCTAACCCTTCTATCACCCTTCCCTCTACCTCACCAAGCTTCTCATAAATTATCTACCCAGCCTCTCATCCACCTCCATGCTTCCATCTAGCTAATCTGCCACCCGTCCCTCCTCCCAGTCGACTCATCCAGTTTAATGGCAGAACTAGTGCAGCAATGCAGCACACATACAAGTAGCCAGCACCACGGTTTCTCCTCCCTCTTTACCCTTGCCCGTCGTTCCTCTGTGCTCTGGCTGCAGCCTTCACCTCACTGTCCCCAGGCTCCAGCTGGGCCACCCGCCCTCCCCTGGGGGGCCCTGTGGGCCTTCGCCACCTGCTCGAAAGGTACCTGAGCTCCACCTCTCTGTCTTGTAAACCCGCTGGCTCCTCTTGACCGTCTTCCTCTTGTCTGCCTTTCTTTTCAAGTTCTTCCTGCTCTTGGAGTAGCTGCAGGAGTGGGTGGTGGGCCGCGTGGGGCAGTGGCGGGAGTGCATGGTGTGTTTGTGGGGCCTCGGTGGGTTGGGGCTTGGACTCTGGCTGCAGTGGCCGGTGGCGCAACCCTGGCCGCGGCTGCAGCTCTGGCTGCAGCTCTGGCAGTGGTGGCCGCAGGTGCACGGGTTGCAGGTGTGGCTCTGGGGCCGAGAGCTGCTATGGGGCTGGGTGTGGGTGATGGGAAGGCTCTGTGTCTTGGTGTCCATGGGAGGCCACACCTGGAGGGGCAGAGGCCTCCGCTTGCTCCTCTTCCAGCACGCCCAGCCTTACAGAGGCCCTGGCGGCCCCTGCTTATATAGTTGGGACCGATTATGATAGCACAGGCCACAGGGGTGTAACAGATGTGCCTCGACTCGGACAAAGGCATCTGCCCCTGACCCAACCCGCAGGGCGGGACAGCTTTCAGGGGCACTCTGGGGTCGTCCCATCTGTTGGTTAAGAGTAGGGACCCTTGGGTCAGCTCGAGCTGGGTCCGCATCCCAGATCTGCCCCTTCCTTTCTTTCTGGTCACTCACCTGGCATTCCTGTCTCCAAGTCCTAGTTTCTCTTTCTTCATAGAATGGAGACAATAATGACACCTACCTCCTAGGGACATTGGACGAATTCAGTGAGAGCATCTGTGTCCAGCAGTCAGCTCAGGGCCAGCGCACAGTAAGAGCTCAATAAACGTTGTCTAAGCCTCCTCAGCTCTTCTTCTTCCCCCCGGGTGGCTCGGAAGCCAGGAGCCCAGCCCTGACCCCAGTGCAGCTGGCTGGGTGGGTAGTCGGTAGGATAGATGACTGGGGCGCGGATAGATGGATGCTGAGTGGATTGGATGGTTTATCGGATGGACAAATGATGAGAGGAACCAAATGGACTGGGGGGTGGTCCTGGGGCCAGCCTGGCAAGCCCATGTCCTTAGCAAGATTGAAAGCCAGGAGATTTACAGCCAGGTTCAAATCTCGCTTTGTCCTGGTGTCTGATCTTGGAGAGGTCATTTAGGTTTTCAAGGCTTGGTTTCCTTATCTGACAAAGAGATATCATTCCTTGCTTCCTGGCATTTCTGTGAGCCTGAGGTGTCCGTCAGGCCACAGAAGGCTCCTGCCTGCTGACTCTGGCCCCCTCCCTGCTAATGAAGCCTCGCCGTACAGCTGGGATCACGCCATCCCTGCTCAGACTGCCCAGCGCCCTAAGAGGAGAGCCCCAACCGTGTCTGCACACGAGGCCCTGCAGGGGCTCCCAGTCTCGGGCGCTCTATCCACAGCCTCCCTCCATGCCTCGGCACACGCCCTTGGGCTGAGCTCTTGGCCACTCTCGGCCTGTACCTCCTCTTCTCCCCCCATGGACCTCCCTCCGTCTCCATCTCCCCTCCCACTGCTAGCCCCGCCACTCCCCCAGCCCACGTCCACTTCCCACTCTCGCTCTTGCACAACTTTGCCTCTTGTTATTATGAGGACTTGCTGTCATCTGCTTTCGTGGCAGTTTATTTCTTAATAAACTTGTCACAGCGCTCACGGTGAAAACCGCCCTCGTTCCCCTCCTATGTGAGAACCTCCTGTGGGCTGGGCTCCGGGCCCACCCTTTCTAGGCAGCTTTGTCCTCGAGCCTCACGAGGACCCTTTGTAAGTGGGCTGGATGGTGGCTCCAAAGATACACCCGCATTCTAACCCCTGGAACCTGGCAACGTGACTGCATTTGGAAGGATCTTTGCAGACGTCATTAAATTAAGGACCTTGAGAGCACCCTGGATTATCCAAGCAGGCCCTGAATCCAACGACAAGTGTCTTGGTAAGAGCCAGCAGAGAAGACACACAGGGGGAAGAGACCGTGGGAAGGCGGAGGCAAAGATTACATGTAGCCACAAGCATGGGACGCCTGGATCCACCATGAGCTGGACACGGCAAGGAAGGATCCTCCCCCAGGACCTCTGCAGGGAGTGCAGCCCTGCTGATGCCTTGATTTCAGACTTCTGGCCTCAGACTGTGACAGGGTAAGTTTCTATTGTTTTAAGCCACCAAGTTTGTGATAATTTGTTACAGCAGCCCTAAGAAACCAACGCACCCTGTGAGGTAGGCACGATTATTGCATTTCACAAAGGGGAATAGGCTCAGAGAGGTTGAGTAACCAGCCCAGAGTCCAGCTAGACAGTGGCAGAATGGGGATTCAAATATAGGTCTGGCTCCCTCGAGTCCAGCCTTACGATCACTAAGGGATCCACAGGGATTACGGAGGGCACTCTCCGCTCTGTGCTAATGGTCCTGCCTTGTGGGGGCTCCGTGGGGCGGGTTGGGGTGGGGTGGGTACTGGGCCACGCTGTGAAGACTCGCTGGGTCTCTGGACCCTCTCCCCCACGCCTCCCACCTCTCCACTGCTGACTCCGCACTTCCCCACCCCGGAGTGCGCAGTGGGATGGAAAATGCATTTGATTCATCTTAGGGCCCCTTAGTGACTGGCACGATGCCTGGCATACAGCAGGGGCTTCACAGATGTTTGCTGGGCAAATGGACGGGCAGCTGGGTCAGTGCGACTTGGATAGAGGACAACGCTGGCTGACCGAGTTCCTTGGTCAGGGGCTGGGGGTGGGAGTCACGGAGAGCGGGGCCCCCTCCTTTGGACGTCACTTTCCTCTGCTGTCTGCAGGCCTCACACATGGCCCCCAAAGGAACAGGCTTCCCTGGAAACACGGCCTCCCCCGCCCCCAGCAGCCCCAATCAGGGTCCTTCTGGGGCCCAGATGGCTGGCAATGGGGGGACTCCTGAGGGAGGGGGCCAGAGATCACATTTGTCATGTCTTTTGGAAAGATGAAGGTTAAGGGAGCCAGGGGCAGGATGGGCAACAGACGCATTCCGATGCTTCTGGAAGGAGAAGGAGGCAGGAGTAGGTGGGCACAGGGCCTGGGTGCTGCAGCTTCTCTGGGCTTCTGATGAAGGACAGGCTCTGCCTCCATAGCCAGACCCCTTGATGAAGGCAGAAGTGAGGCTCCGATGGGGGCACAGATGGTCCCCTCGAGGGTGAAGATGGCAGCAGAAGAATCTGGCTGAGAAGGACTCAGGCCCCTCCACAAGCTCTGAGCCCACAACCAGGGCCAGCAAGGCAGATGGACCCACCACGACTCCAGCAACAATACCTGTCTTAGTCCAACACCCACCGTGTGCCAGACCTGACCCCACCCACCACTCCAGTTAATTCTCCCGACCAGCTGACCTGTGGGGTAGCTATTAATCTCACCCTTAAACAGGGAGGGGCAACCTGAGGCTCAGAGATGGCCAGTGACTTGCTCAAGCTCAGGCAGCCAGCAGAAAGAAGTTTGAACCCAGGCCTGCTGAGCTCCCAAGCCAGTGCCCTTGTGGTTACAGCAGCAAGTGGGGGTTTTGCTGAGGGGGATTCCACTGTCCCACTGGGTGCTGTGTCTGCTCAGACTTGGAGAGGAGTCTCTCCCCTCCCCCGGCCCCGGAGATGGGGGTCGCAGGACTGGCGGAGATGACTTTCCACCCAGGCGACCACATTTTCCACTCCCCAAAGCAGGGGATGGTGGCTAGGAAGTCACGGGGAGTGGACCTTGTGAGGACTTCTGGCTGAACATCAGGAACATGGGCCACAGACTCCTGCTCTTCAACCTCCCTACACACACACACACACACACACGCACGCACGCATGCACGCACGCGCGTGGTACCACCGGCACAGGGTTGGGGACAGAGAGGAGGAGGAGAATTCCTTGGAGACTTTTTATTGACTCTTTTCTGAAAGTTCTTCTCGCTGGAACAGCAACAGGCACCTCTTCCTGGGTCAGGAGTGCGTCTGCTTGGGCTCGGGGCTCTGCTGGGCCTCAGGGTCATCTTCGGCGTCCTCCTCCTGCAGCTCGGGCTCCATCAGCAGCAGCTTGCCCTGCACCGGGAGCTCCTCTTCCTCCTCTTCCTCTCCTTCCTCCTCCTCCTCGCCCTCCGATGACAGGGAGAAGTTATCCTGACTCACGCAGGCCACGAGCTTCTTCATGGAGGACTCGTGGCCCCGGCTGTGGCCTGTGCTGAGCTTGGCACAGTGGGAACCCATTACCCACTTTGGCTGCCACTCTGGACTGCGAGGGAAGGCCACTGGGGGGAAGTGGAGGGGCTGGGAGGGTGGTGGGCGGGGCGCTGACATCACAAAGGGGCCCCTGGACCCCCCACCCCTGCCCCGGATACCTGAGGCTGGGCTGATGCCTGACTCAAACCTTGGCTACCAGCAGCGCCACTGGGCTCCAGTGCCCCCGCCAGAGCATCACTCTGCCTTCATCAAGGGGTCTGGCTATGGAGGCAGAGCCTGTCCTTCATCAGAAGCCCAGAGAAGCTGCAGCACCCAGGCCCTGTGCCCACCTACTCCTGCCTCCTTCTCCTTCCAGAAGCATCGGAATGCGTCTGTTGCCCATCCTGCCCCTGGCTCCCTTCTAGGGCAGGATAGAGGCAGACTGCTGCCTCGCCCTGCCACGTCCCCTCTGCCCTCTGGCCTCATTTGCTGTGGCAAAAGTCCCCCTTTCAGCTGGGATGACAGTTGGGGATAGAATTTCTGGAGGCAGAAGAGTGCAGATTCCTCCCCACACCCCAGAAATACTCAGCCCGAGAGAGCTGTTGACGGTATGTGATGATGGGTCAGAATAGTGGCCACGTTTGTGGGGTGCTGGAAATGCTGGTTTCTTGACCTGGGTGGTGCCCACACAGGTGTACGTAAAAGTTGTGCACTCCATAAGCTATACTTCTATAAAACTAAAGAAAACCCGCTAACTCCTTCTCATCCTCTAAAATCACCCTTTAAAGGCAGCGGCTCCTAAACTTTTGGGGTCGCAGTTCTCTTTAGCAGCGCATACCCATATAACACAATTTCAGCATGGGAGGGGGGAGTTAAGTCCCCTTGGTCATCTCCGAGCACTGGGAATCCATTTTCCAACAGGTAAATCAAATCTTGCCAATTTTCAGACCCAAATCCTCTGTGGCTGTGGTAGGCTGAATAATGACCCTTCCTGGATTATCTGAGTGGGCCCTCAATGCAGTCACAAGTGCCCCTAGAAGAGGGAGGCAGAGAGATTCCACACAGCAGGCAGTGTGACCACGGATGGAGTGATGTGGCCACAGCCAAGGGGCACCAAGGATTCCGGGAGCCACCAGAAGCTAGAAAGAAACAGGCACAGATCCTTCCCCGGAGCCTCCGGAGGGAGCATGGCCCTGCCGACGCCAACTTGAAAAGTTTGTAGTAACGCAGGGTCCCGTCTCAGAATTCTAGCGGCCCACAAGGCCTCACAGTTCAGCCCCTTGTCTTTTTATAAAAATTTTATTATTGAGGTCATAATACTTTATAACATTGTGAAATTTCAGTTGTACATTATTGTTACCATGTATATGTGCCCCTTTACCTGCTATGCACACCCCCAACCCCCTTCCCCTCTGGTGACCACTAACGTGTTCTCTTTGTCCATGTGTTTCTCTTCCACATACGAGTGAAATCATGTGGTCTTTGTCTTTCTCTGTCTGGCTTATTTCACTTAACATAATGCCCTCCAGGTCCATCCAGGGTGTTGTAAATGGGACAATTTTGTCTTTTTTATGGCTGAGTAGTATTCCATTGTATATATATACCACATCTTCTTGATCCACTCATCAGTCGATGGTCAGCCCCTTGTCTTGTTCCCTCCATGCTGGCCTTTTCTTGCTGGAGCATGCCAGACCTGCTTCCCATCTTGGCTACCCAGCACCCCTTAAGTTTCTTCAGGTTGAGAGCCTGGCCTTAGTTAAAGACCCCTGGAGGGCCAGCCCGGTGGCTTAGCAGTTAAGTGTGCACGCTCCACTACTGGCGGCCCGGGTTCAGATCCCGGACGCGCACCGACACACCACTTCTCCAGCCATGCTGAGGCTGCGTCCCACATACAGCAACTAGAAGGATGTGCAACTATGACATACAACTATCTACTGGGGCTTTGGGGGGAAAAAAAGGAGGATTGGCGATGGATGTTAGCTCAGAGCCGGTCTTCCTCAGCAAAAAAGAGGAGGATTAGCATGGATGTTAGCTCAGGGCTGATCTTCCTCAAAAAAAAAAAGACCCCTGGAGAGCGGGATAACAGGGAAATGGGAAAGTCAAGGTGGAATAGTGTTGTGGCCTTTGGCATCATGAAAGGCCCGGCATCAAACCCTGGCTCTGGGTGACGGAGGATGCCCACAGTATCACAGGGTAACACGCCAGCACGGTGCCTGGTGCCTAGGAGTGCTCAGAACTGAGCCCCACCCCCTCTGCCGCACCACCCCCTGCACCCCCACACCTTGCATCAAGAAGACCCTGACAGGCCAGCACATTTTTCATCTCAGGCTTTATTGGGTGGATGACTTTTGCTCATTTTACTCAAGATTTTGTGGGCTCCTTACAAACTCGGGGCTCAGGCATCCGATGTGGGGGGATTGCTGTGGTCTGGCGAGGTGGTTCTTTGGCAGGTGACTTTTCCTTAATTTCCACCGGGAGTGGGCTGGGCCCAGGAAGGTTAGAGACGCCCTCTGCATCTCCTCCTCCTCCTCCTGCAGCCTTTTGGAAAAGAAACTTCTGGTTACAGGGCCGTTCAGGGGATCTGGTTGTGGATGGGGCTGGGGACTGTCAGATGGGTGGGGGCCCAGTGCCTCGTTAGCCTCCCGCCACCCTTCTGTGCCGTGGCCGGGGTGTCAGGGGCCCCGGAATGGGGGGCGGAGGGGACGGGCGGACCTCTGCGGCGCCTCCTGTGCCTGCACGCGCGTCTCTGGCGCCTTCCACACGAGCGCTCCCGCCGTGTGCGGAGCCTGTACAGCCTCCTTGGGGAGCCGCGCCTCTGTCTATAGCGATAGCGGCCTCCGATGGCCCTTCCGTCGGCCTGGATATCCTCGGGGCTCTGCGCCTGGTCCTCGCACCCGTGCTGCTGCCCAGACCCCTGCTGGGGCCGCTCGCTGGGACTCCTCACGCGGTGGCGGACCATGGTGCTCGCAGGTCGGGCAGCTTAGGCTGAGGCTGCGGGTGGCCGTGGGGCGCGGGAGGAGGGCAGCCTGCCCACCTGCTCTTGCTGTTAATGTTGGGCTGGTCTGCCCACAGCTCCTGGGGACTCATATATAAAGGGGGCGCCCACTATGACTCGGCGGCCCCTCCCCGCCATTGTCCCCACCCTGGCCAGCACACAGAGGTGACACAGAGCAGGGGCGCACAGCCAGCGGGGCCCGGAAAGGCGAGCCACCCCCTGGCCTTGCCTGCAACACATGTCCCTGGTCCCTTGGAGCAGATGGGACTCAGGCCACAAGAAGGGCACCAGCTCTTTCTGGTCCAAATCCAGGCCCTCATCCCACCCGGCTGGTGGGAATCCACGCATAGTCATTCCTGAAGCTTCCTCACCCCCTCTGGGGCCATGCCGTGGTCTGGGGTTTTATATAGTGCCAGTGTGTGGGGGGCTTCGTTACTGGTTATCTGTCCACACAGTTATTCATTAAGGGTGAGGACACCCTTATCCCCATTTTCCTTGGGGGAAACTGAGGCATGAAGAGGTTAAGTGACTTGCTTAAGGTCACTCTGCAAATAAGGGGTGAAGCCAGGCTTCAGAGTCCGTGCCCCTGGCCCTCCGCCCCCCTCCCAGCCCAGGGGACGCTCTCCCCTCCTCCAGCTCTGCCCTCCTCCTGGGCCTCTCACTGTACTTTGATGATCCCATTAAAACCCATAACCAGAATCACAGCAACTGAAAAACTGTGGTTCCCCTTCCATAGAGGGCAGGGAGGACATGGTGGACAGATGAATGCCTTCTTCCCAAAGATGTCCAGGCCCTACTCCCTGAACCTGTGAATGTCGCCTTATGTGCAAAAGTGAGTTAAGGGTTGGAGATGGGGAGAGCATCCTGGGTTGTCCAGGTGGGTTCAGTGTAGTCACGTGGGTCCCTCTAAGGTGGAGGAGGGAGGCAGAAAGGGCACAGGGAGAAGGATTCAAAGATGCTATGCCACTGGCTTTGAACATGGAGGCAGAAGCAGGGCCATGAGCCAAGGGATGCAGGCAGCCTCGAGGAGCCGGCAAAGACAGGGAAACAGGTTATTCTCCCTGAGAGCCTCCAGAAGGAACACAGCCCTGCCCATACCTTGACTTTAGCCCCATAAGGCCCATTTTGGAATTGTGACCTGCAGAACTGTAACATAATAAATGTGTGTTGTTTTGTGCTATGAAGCTTGCAGTCATTTCTTAGAGCGGCAATAGGAAACCAATATGGAGGGCTTAATTTCACCCTGGGTTCACATGCTGCCTCTTGTGCTTACTGGTGTCCTCAGGCTCCCCTGGGCACTTGTTAAAAATACGATTGCCCAGGCCTTACCCCCAGACCCTGCTAAATCAGAATCTCCGTGGCTAGAGCTTGTCTATATTCAGCCATCCTGCCACCATCTTCTGACTGGGTACAGTGATGGGGGTCATGGAAGCGAGTGCAGCTCCCCACTCAGTGTCCTCACCTGAAGAGACGGGGTCATCGATACCCGTCTTGCAAGGTCGGTGTGAGGCCTGGAAGCAGTGAATGCAGAGTACCTGTATGCCATGGTGCTTGATAAATGGAAGCATGGCCATGACATTTCTGAGGTGCTAGGTGGCCCTGTCACTTTCAGGAGCTGGGTCTCAGAGCCCCCAGTCACTGATGAAATGCCCTGGCCTTTGTGACCTAGGCTCCGTGTCAAAGGATTCGACAGTTCTCTTTGAGCCAAGTACGCTGACGTCCAGTGGGGTTTCCTTTGGCTGTTTGAGGTGTCTTGTGAACCATCCCCACATCTCTGGGCTTTGAAAGCCTCGGTGTATTGTATGGGTTGAGTGGGCAGTTCTCTTGTTCCCTCCAGTGGGGATGAATCATGCGTCCTTCACAGAGCTGAGGATTAACTGTGGAAGTTCCACACAGCCGCTACCCGGGCGAGTTATCACCGTACCCCAGTGGAGGCGAAAACCTCTAGGGCGGCGAGATGAGGAATGGAAAGTTCTGGAGCCCCCTTTTGAGGATGGGAATCTCCGCTTCGGGCTGAAATAACCTACGTGGGCATGTTGGGGATTGGTGGGACATAGTGATGGGCTGGTACATCTTGAGCTGGTAAATGGTCACCTGGCTCTCTGGCGGGGATGGGGAGAGCACTGGTTTGTAGCATTTGCGTTTCTATGGCCCGTTTCAAGCTGCCAACAGAAAGCCACTGAGCTGGAGTTGGGGAGAGGTGCACTCAGAAGCAAGCACGACCCGGTTCCTGCCCCACTGGGCAGGGGTCTATGAAGGGGTGGTCGGGGGAGGCAGATTTTGGGTGTGACTTGGGAGTGGTCAAGAGTTTGGAACAAGATCCAGTGTGACAACTGTCACTGTCGTGTCCCCTCTTCCCGGCATCCCCAAGCCCTCTCGCCCTTCTCATCCCCCAGCCCTCCCCGTCCCCCGAGCTCCCTCAAGGCAAAGAGGCGAGACTGCGGTTATGTCCTCAACATTTATTGACAGGTGGCATTGTTCGCTAGCAGGCTCCTGTTCATTTCATTGGGATGGTGGCACTTTCAAGATGTGGCAAGAGGGTCTTGAAGGCTGGTGACATTTCAGGCAGGAGTGTGGTGGACTTGCTATCGCGTGCATTATCGTCGTCGTCTACACCTCACAACAGTGTAGCGGCGGCAGCACACTGCGGGGGGAGTGAGAGAGGGTGAGAGGAGAGTTCAGCCTGGGCTGACCCCCCAGCTCTGCCTAGCGCCCCGGCCCCGCCCACAGAGGGACCCCGTTACCTCTCCGCCTTCGGACACATCGCCTCCTTCGCCTGCGACATCTTCGTCGCTGGCGGCGGCACCTGCTTTGGCTGCGGCAGCATCTGTATCTAGCCATGGTGCAGGATGGACTCGGCCTGGATGCGCAGAGCAGGGGCTACCACCTTGGTTGAGCCAGCCAACCTGTGAGCAGGTGGAACTTGGTGGGCTGTGAGCCAGGGGCTGGCCCCGGGGCCTCTTATAGACGTGGGGGCTGGCCCTGGCCATTGTGAGGCCGCAGGGGCCTGGACCTCACAGACCGGGTCCTACATCGTGTCCATATATGGGCGTGTGGGAGGTCCTTGGTGAGGGCAGGGCGGGGCTGTGATGCATAGGGGCCTCCCATGTCACCAGCCGAGGGGAAACAAGATGACTTCTCCAAGGGCACTCACTCACTCATTTGTTCATTCAGTCAGTCAATGAACAAAATATTATTGAGCACCTGTTGTGTGCCAGATTCAGCATACAGTGATAATAAGGCAGACACATTCCTGCCTAATAAACTTTGTAATCTAACTACGGGGAACAGGAATGAAATAACCACACAGGGTAATGGTAACTGTGAAAAATGCTGAGAAGAGAAACTTCAGGTTTTTGTGAGGGTACTTGTTGGGGGGTTTCGACCTCATTGGAGGCCCTAGGAAAGCCCCCTAAGCATCCGTAGGCTGGTGAAGTGAATTCCTGAAGGATGAGTCCGAGTTGGAGGAGGGAAGAGTGTCTGGGAAGAGGGAACAGCTGGTGCAGAGTTCTGAGGCATTTATCGGAAGTGTCTAGAAGAGGGAAATCCATCGACAGAAGTCGGCCAGTGGTTGCCCAGGAGCGGGTGGAATGGGGGAATGGCTGCTTATGGGTACTGGCTTTCCTTTTGGGGTGATGAAAATGTTTTGGAACTAGATAGAGGTGATAGTTACACAACATTGTGAATGGACTAATTGCTGCTGAATTATTCACTGTAAAATGGCGAATTTTATGTGATGTGAATTTTACCTCAATTGAAAAAAAAGTCCTGAGGCTGACAGGTGTGTGGCAGGTGTAAGGAATCAGAGGGGGACCCACGTGGCTGGAGCAGAGAGGCTGAGTGAGCGCAGGCAAGCTGGGGCCAGGCCACTCCGAGCTTTGTGTGGTCTTCCCGCATTCCCCGTGAGTGTTAGGGATCAAGAGGGCAGCAGTTAGAATTAGATTTGGTTACTTATAACAGAAAACCAAAATAAGTGACTTTTGGATGGAAGTTTTATGTTTCACTTAAGAAGCCAGAGGTGACTTGGATGGTCATTAGAGTGCCCTTGTTTTGGGGACATGCGCACGGGACTATTTAGGGATGGTGGGCATCGTGTTTGCCAGCCACTCTCGAGTGATTCAGGAAGGAACAGTAACAATGGGCGCACGTCGACATAGAGAGAGAGGGAGAGGAGAATGGGTAGCGGAGTAAACAGAAGAGAAGGTTACCAACTGGCCAGTCTCCATGGGGGAGTTCTTGGGTTGATTGTTGCAATTTTTCTGTAACTTTGAAGTTATTTCAAAATACATTATTTGAATTATTTTTTTTTAAAAACCAAAGGGAAAGAAATCAGGAGGAAGGACTTCTGAGGCTGATGTAGGGCCTTCACCCTTATCAAGGGCACGGGCTTCTTTTATCTTTTGGCTCTGCCCTCAGCAAGTGTTTCCCATCCTCAAGGTTGCCTCATAGTCCAAAATCAGGGCTGCCGTGGACGGTTGTGCAGTTCGTGTACTGCTCAAAGCTCTCAGCCAAGGGATTGAGTGGAGACTATGTTCTGCTTGCCAAGGCAAACCCAGCACCCATAGGCACGCTTCTGCCCATAGGAGCTATCTTTTTTCTAATTTGACTGGTCACAGTGGAAGTCTTTTTCTAATTGGAGCAAAGGCAAGTTAAGGACTAGCCTCGGCCCTGCTGGAAAATCACCCATATCCACTGTCCAAGCAGAAGGAAGAAGAGGAGAGGGCAGAAGGAGTCCTTACCCTGTAACAAGCTTTCCCAGACACCCCACCCAGCAACTTCCCCGTCTGATTTTTTGCTTTACTGTGCAAGCACCCTGCCTCTCAGAATGAAGCGGGGGTTCTTAGGAGGGAGAAAGGGGCCGGATAGTTAGATCGTTAGTACTCTTTGCCCCAGAGGGGGTACAGCCAGAAACTTCCAGAACCCCACCCCAACCATGAATTTGAAGCTGACGTCCACCAAATTACTAAGAAGGCTGCACCTGGCTCATAGTAGCTTAGCAATAAATTTTCATTTATTGATGCATGTCTAGATTGACTTAAAATTATCATCCCCAATCCTGTAACACGTAATACTTTTTACAGATAACCTACATGGTCCAGGGCTGGTATTTACCCTGCTTTACGGGAGAGTCATTGGAGACATATGAACTGGCTCGCTCGTTCATTCACGTTTTTGCTGAGCATGTGCTGTGTGGCAGGACCTATCCGAGGCAGTGGGAATACACCACGAACAAGGGGACGAGCATTCTGGCCCCCAAGCAGCTTACGTTCTAGCTGGACAGACGGTATTCGAACAGAAAAATGATCCAAAACGTCAAAGTTGGTGACAGATATGCATAGTGTCCGATGTGGATGTCCCAGCTGGGGAAGGGTGAGTGGCTCTGCTCCCCGCAGTCATTCAGGGCCTCAGGCCGACCACAGCTCTGCCTTCTCACACACACAGCCGCCCACGTGTCCTGGACCTCCACATCCGGCCGCTGGACAGAGGGAGAGCACGTGGGGGAGGATCCTCTGTTTCTTAACTGCCTTGGCCCGAAAGTGACACGCTCCACTTCTGTTCCCACGTCACTGGTGAGCTGGTCGCGTGACCCCAAGAGCCGCACAGAAGGCCTGGAAGTCAAGTCCGTGGGCTGTGCTTCTCTCTCCGCCACACAGCTGGAGGGACACAGGAGCCGGCGGCGGACAGAGTGGCCAGCAGGGAACTAGAACAACAAGGAGGTCTGACAAGGCCACTCCGAGGAGGGGACATGTGAGCTGAGGCTGGTGGGAGCGGTCCGTTGGTTTGAAGGCTCGGCAGGGGGACAGGAAAAAGCTTGGAACGGAAAGAAGGTCCCTGTGGCTACAGAGGAAAAAACAAGTCTTGGCCTTACGGTTCAGTGGAAGAGACAGCGTTAATCACATCGTTGCAGAAATGGGTCATAGGCCTGGAGAAGAGGCCCGTGGTGCTCTGAGATGGGGCACTGGGCCTAGTCTGGGCTGGGAGGACCTCGGTGGCATCTGAAATGTCAGAGTTTGCTTGTTCTAGCAGTGTCTGTTACCCTGAAAAATGCAGCACTTGCCACTGACTGATACTTATTGTGTTTATTATTTGTCTCCAAGGACAATATAAATTCTGTAAGATCAGGAACTTAATTTTGTTCCCTGTGGCAATCCCAGTCCTGGGAGTAACCAGTAAGTAAAAGAGACCCAAATATTTGTTGGATGAAGAAATGAATGATAAACAGATGCTTTGTACGATAAAATGCTTTTGTTGTCATTTTCCAAGTATAAAATCATGGTATCACAGCATGATTTTTGAAACGTCACACACCCTCTCCCCGCCCGCTGCCCCAGTTCTGTAGGGTGTGGCCCCAGGCTGAGAAAGGCAGTGCTAACCACCGAGACGCCTGCCATCTGAACACAGCTGAGTCTCAGAAGGATGCCCAGTCCTGTCCCCTGAGGTCCTGGTTGGTCAGTCACACTGTGTGTCCTGTCCCACCCCCACGTCTTGATGTCACAATGGCCACCCACAGCCGCTTTGATCAAAGGGAGATGTCAGCAGAGAGGTGAAAGCGGGGGTGGGGGATACGCTCCCCTCTGCCTTGAGAAGGGTGGAGCCAGGCAGTTAAGTCCCAGGGTAATGAAAGGACCATTTGGCACTAAGGTGACCACGTTGTACATGTGCCATTGCACCCACAACTCCGCAGCCAGGGATCTGACCTGCAGAAATTCTCACACGTGTTCGTAAAAGTGGTGTGGGAGCATGTTCACTGGAGTGTTGTTTTCGGGAAGAAAACTGGCAATAACAATGTTCATCTTAAGGAAACGGTCAGTCAGTTGTTACTGTTGAGGAACAGCTCACAGCCGTTCCGAAGAACACTGTAGAGGGAAGTGCGCTGGTATGGAAGGAAGCCCACAGTATATAGAGTTACTAAAATGTAACGGGCGGCATCCCATGTTGGTAAAAAATTTTAAAATAAATGTTTAGGGCCAGCCCTGTGGCTTAGCGGTTAAGTGCGCGCGATCCACTGCTGGAGGCCCGGGTTCGGATCCCGGGTGCGCACCAACGCACCGCTTCTCCGGCCATGCTGAGGCCGCGACCCACATACAGCAACTAGAAGGATGTGCAGCTATGACACACAACTATCCGCTGGGGCTTTGGAGGGAAAAAAATAAATAAATAAAATAAATGTTTACATTAGGGAAAAGTCCAGAATATAATACACCGGATTAGCAGCGGGGAGTGGAATTATGGACAGTTTCACTTTCTATTTTATTCATTTTTGCATTGTTTGGACTTTTTTACCTGTCTCAGGGACAAGGCATTGCTGAATGTTGAATGAGTTATTTCCTTGATCAGAAAAAAGTAATGGAAAATAATAACGCCCATTATCGTATTATCCAAGCAATTGCTGTGTGTCACGATCCCATTTAGTTGTGAGGTTTTTTTTTTTTTTTTTCTTTAATAAGCTTTTTCTTTTGGGAAAAGTTGAAAAGTTCGTTACAGAGAGTTCCTGTATCCCTGTTACTCAGTTTCCCCTACCATTAACATTTTACATCACTGTGACACATTTGTCACAACAAGAAACCAAAACTGGCATGTGACTATGAACCAAGCTCTAGACTCTTTTTGGATTTCACCAATTTTTCCACTAATGCCCGTTTTTGTCCCAGGATCCAATTCAGGGTCTCACATCCAGTTTTCTTTATTATTAACATCTTATATTGGGATGGTGTATTTGTCACAATTCGTGAACCAATTTGGAGGCATTATTGTCAGCTGAAGTCTGTACTTTATTCAGATTCCCTTAGTTTTTCCTTAATGTCCTTTTTCTGTTCCAGAATTCCCTCCAGGATACCACATCTCCTTAGGCTCCTCTGGGCTGTGACAGTTTCTCAGACTTTCTTCGTCTTTAGTGACTGTGACAGTTTTGAGGAGCACTGCTCAAGTATCTTGTAGAATGTCTCTCAGT